TCTCCCCTGTGGCTAAGTTGACTTCAGTGAAAATGTTGCTTGCTGTTGCATCTTTTAACAACTGGCAATTGCATCAAATGGATGTTAACAATGCTTTCTTGAATGGTGAATTGGAAGAGGATGTGTATATGGAACTTCCAGAAGGCATGAGGGATAAGCCTGAGTATAAAGGGAAGATTTGCAAATTGAAGAAGTCCCTCTACGGTTTAAAGCAAGCCAGCAGAATGTGGTATGCCAAATTAACAGAATCTTTGCTTGCTAATGGATTTAGACAATCCATGTCTGATTATTCAATTTTCTTAACTGAGATTAAAGGGCATCTGGTAGTTCTCATTGTCTATGTAGATGATATTGTGGTTGGTAGTGTGAATCTAGAAGTAGTCATTTCAGTGAAAAACATGCTGAAGTCCTTGTTTAAAATGAAGGACTTAGGAGAGCTGCAGTATTTCCTTGGTTTGGAAGTAAACAAAACTGCCACTGGGATTCATGTTTCTCAAAGGAAATATTGCACATAACTCTTGAAGGAAGCAGGGTTTGATGAGTGCAAACCTGCTAAAACCCCTACCAGCATAAAACAAGTCCTTTCAGCTTCAGATGGTGACCCTTTCCTGGAGATTAGCAAGTTCAAACACTTACTATGACAATTGCGGTATTTGACAAGCACTAGACCAGATATAAGCTTTGCTGTTCAACAGCTTTGCCAATTCCAAGACTCACCAACCACAGTGCATTACAAAGCCTTGCAGAGGGTGTTTAGATACTTGAGCAATTCACCTGGTCAAGGCTTGTTCTATTCCAAGGATTCTGCTATACGTGCAATTAACAGGGTACAGTGACTCTGATTGGGCCACATGTCCTGATTCAAGAAGATCATTGACAGGGTTTGTGTTTTTCTGGGGACAAGTTTGATTAGCTGGAAAACAAAGAAGCAGAGTACAGTTTCCAGATCTTCTTCAGAAGCAGAATATCAAGCTTTGGCCCAGCTCAGTTGTGAAGTTCAATGGTTGGTAAGATTGCTTTCTGACTTTGGGATTGTTCACTCTCAACCAGCCTTGGTTTATTGTGACAATCAGTCAGCAATACACATTGCCAGGAATCCAGTCTTCCATGAGCGAACGAAACATATTCAGGTTGATTGTCATGTCATTAGGGAAAGACTGATGAATGGTTTGCTTGATTTGAAACACATTTCCACCACCTATCAGCTTGCAGACATCTTTACCAAAAGCCTTGGTATAGATCGTTTTAACTGCTGATGTGCAAGCTAGGAGTCTCTGGAAGACACTTGCCAGCTTGTGGGGGGGGGGGGGGTAATAGATGAATGAGCACCGAGCAGCAGCAGCTGAGGATTGAAGCAAGAAGAAATGCAGGAAGGCTGCTGCTGCAAGTTGAAGACGCTTGCAACTGAGGATCACCTGCCCAGAAGAAACGACGGCGTTTTGCTCTAATCCGGAAAGCAGCTTTGGAGCAAAACAAAGACGCTTCATCAATAGAAGAAAGAGATGGCTCAAACGGTGTCGTCCTTCTTAGTTAGTTGATTGCAATTAAATAGTGACTTATGGACACGTGGTTTCGTTTTATTGGTTGTTTTTTATTAGTTCGTTAAGTACTGTAGATTAGCCGTTTGTTTCCATTTCCTCTGTAAAGGCTGTTGGGTATATAATGAGAAATCCAGAAAACGAAGCTCTCAAGTTTTGAGAACCTTCACCAAAAACCCTAACAAAGCTTTGCTATCTTTCTTTTCTTCTCAGCCATGGTGGTCATCAGCTTCGATCGGCATGGCATAATCATCAATGGCGTCAACTATGTGGAGGAATGAATGTGTATCCCTTCTTCTTCAGCTTCTCTTAAAGAGAGTTCTTCATTACCTTCTTGCTCTCTCCAGTAATGTAAAAGAAGTCTTTCTGACCTTCCTTCATTCTGGGCACGTTACCCTTCAAGTTGGTCGGCGAATCAATAGACAGTGCAACTAGTGTGATTGTGCCAAGTGGAGGCTTGTTGATGTCTGACGGCTCCGCATCAGTATTGCCTTCAATTTCCAAATTCTTAGCGCCCGCAACCTTGTGGAAGGTGCTCGTTTGCCTTGCGGCGGAGTTTGTGGCGCCACCGATGCTGACGTTGAGTGGTGCAGCTGGATTTGGTCCAAGCACTGGAGCGGCCAACGTATATGCAGTTGTAACCGACGCCGCGTCACATCGCGAATAGTGGATGATGAGAACTCTTCACACCGTGATGGATCCACTACCAGGGTTAGGGCTTTGTCTAGCATATTGGCGGCTGGCGGCGGTTCTTTGTATGATGTAGGTGGCTGCCTCCGAGCTAGGGCTGGTTTGGCGGCAACGATCGCAACTGCGCCAATTGGCGATGGCATAGGCGGTGACTTCGGAACTGCGGCTAGCTCTTCCGTTGACGGATCTGATGCTGGCATAAGCTTCAACTCGGCGGCGGCGAGTGACGTAGGTTCGTCCTTGCTGTCCATCGGTAGAGAGTGGTGATTACGGTCAGAATGGTGAAGCGGTGGAGTTGGCGCAGGTAAGCTGGTGGCGATGATGTAACCGGAAAAGTTGCGGATGAGGCACTCCTCCCATCCGGCCGGTTGTAGGAGCTTATTGGCGATATTATCCCTGTACGATGGGTAGCAATCAAGCGGTATGTGATGATGAATAACCTGGATTCTGGGTTGTGTGAAACAAAGCTCTGATACCAATTGTTACCCGACACAGAATTGAAGAATTCTTAACTTGTAACCTCCTTGCGATAAAACTAACAAACTACGATAAAACGCTGTAAATTGCGATAAACGAAAGACAATAAACTAGATTTGAGTTCCAATCTTCTTCATATCCTTAAACGAAAGACAAAGTATATATTTATAAACATAGAAGCCTCTACCTTCTCCTATCTAGAAGACTAGAACATAAATACTAGTCCCACAAGTAAACGATAATCAATTCCTAAACATACTAGAAAACAATCACAATCCTACTAAGACAATTAAACAATAATAATATCCTCAATTATATGAAATACGAACTAATTAATAAAACTACTAAAAATATATGAGTTCAGAAATTTCTAAATTGTCACGATGAAGCGTCTCGTAACATCTCCCTCTCTCCGCTAGGAAAACCATCGGGTCATCAACCTGGTCCCTCCGGGTCAACCCGAGCAGCGGCAATTTGCACCCGACGGAGGCTTACCTCATCGCCCCGCCGATCAAAACCCTATCAGATTCTGCTTTCGTTGCGCACTATGCTCCCAAGGAACATTCTCTGGAGGTCAGAGCACCCATCCCGTCCGATTTCTTCCCCAGGAATCTGCTCCCCGAGGGTTCGTTAATCGTTCATGGTCGGGATCTCGTCGATTTTCTGGCGGGAGGCGTGGAAGTACGGGGAGCGGGCGTTTTGCTACTGTAACCACGACGTTAGTCATGCGATCGCCGCGATCTCCATTGCCGTCGCTGAGCTCGGGTGGGATGTGAAGTTGCTAGATGGGTTAGGGTTTGAGGAGCTGGAGAGGCTCATGGGGCTTCACCCTTATCAGGACTTCCCGATTCCTTATAAACCAACGAAAGGCAGGATTCCGAGTATTGAGTTCGAGCATCCGGATTGCGTGCTTCTCGTCTTCCCTGGTGAGCTCTGTGACTTGAATGTGAACAATCAGCAACTGTGCGCTGCAGCTATGAGATTTGATAGCTTGGATTGGAAGGGAGACCCGAATTCGCTGAGTAAGGCGCATGTGTGTTGGAATGTCATTTACAGAACGGCTGAGGCTGTTAAGAAGCAGTCATCATTGTCATCGCTTGAAGAAGCTGGATTCTCCAATATTGAACCATTTCAAGGGAGTGGAGTTTTCAGTGCAAGTTCCTACAAGGGGTTTACGATGAAAGAAATTGTTAGGAAGAGGAGGAGTGCAGTTGACATGGATGGGGTTACTGAGGTGGACAAGAACACATTTTAACAGATCATGTTACAGCGGCAGAAGAAGCAATTGGCGTTGCCATTTCGTGCTCTCTCGTGGGCTGCCGAGGTGCATGAAGCGTTGTTCGTTCATCGGGTGGACGGGTTGCCAAAGGGACTGTATCTCCCGGTAAGAAATGAGGATCATTTGGATGAGCTGAAGAAAGCCACTAGACCCGACTTCAAGTGGGAGAAACCAGAGGGATGTCCTGATGATTTGCCCTTGTACGAACTTGGTAGAGGAGATTGCCAGCAGATTTCCAAAGCACTTTCCTACCATCAGGTGTGCCGTCAAGTGAATCTGGGATTAGTGCAGAATTTGTAGGAGCGAAACTGGGATTTGGAATGTAACAGACTAACAGTTTAACTTTTGGATGCAGGATATTGCCAGCGATGCCTGCTTTAGCCTTGGAATGGCGGCTCGTTTTGAGCCTGCATTGCGAGACAAGGGTACGTGGATGTACCCTCGACTGTTCTGGGAAACTGGAGTGTTAGGACAGGTTCTGTACCTGGAAGCACATGCAGTTGGCGTCTCTGCCACTGGAATTGGCTGCTTCTTTGATGATCCTGGTAAAGCATATAATGGTTTCCTTCTTTCGCCTTGAATTTTCGGTATCTGCCACCACTGACTGACTCTCTTTTGCTGTTGACGCTGTTCTTTTGTTTGGCAGTCCACGAGCTACTCGGATTAAGAGGGTCTAGATTCCAGAGAGTCTGTATCATTTCACTGTTGGAGGTCCTGTTTTGGACAAGTGAATTATGAGTCTTCCAGCTTATCCTGGACCTGATATGAATGCATGACAGACGAAATCATTCATTCGATCACAGTTTATCGGCATTAATATTGTATTATGTTACGCAGAAGACTTTGTAGTTTGAGGGTAGAACGAATCCTTATACCTATAGTCTTCAGAGTTAAACCCGTGTAACGATAGAATATATGTGCCTGCCGTTAGATATTTCACTAGTTCTATAGACATAGAAACGAAATCATATGTAATTTATAGCCAAAAAAGAATGCCTCTTCATGTTTAAGCATCATTATATTACCCTATTGTATTTGTGCATGTATAATGGTTTGATTTTGATACATAAAAAAATGGCACAGGAAACATAACCAAGAAGATAGAGGAGTCTCCCAGCTGCTTCTCCTTCTGGTCACAACCTATTCTCTTCCTGTCCACGGGATATATTTACATGTCTTCCAACTATGAGCTCTATCAACGAAGGTCCAACAGTTTCTGAAAAGTTGCACCGGCATCAAATGCAGAATCATTCATGGCTCATCTTAGTGAGGCTTTTTCCTGATTCAGAAGGGATAGCTGCCTGGTCAAACAATCTAACTGCAGTTGTCTTGACCAAGTTCTTGCAATGTCTCGGGCCAAATTCGATCCAATTTTCAGAAGACCATCTCCAAGAGTCTTGACTCGATAGAAGATGAGATTCCAAGAAGATCTGTTCAGTGAGGAAGTTATATCCTTCCTCCTTTGGGATCATCCAACAACATTTTCAAATTCTAATGACGCCGGACAAAACCAAAAGCTTGTGCTAACCCTTTGAACAGTATCACAAAAAGAAGAGGAAGATATCGAATGTAACTGGAAAAAGGCTATCGATATCGAAGCTTATCAGATCGCCAACTTCGTATTTAAACGAATCCAAGAAGAGTCCAAGAGAAAGACCAAACTTCCAATAGTTGAACATAGTGATCAAGCTCTTGATGTTGCTGAGTAGGCGCAAAGAACCCTTGTACATGAGTGCTCCAATGGCTTCCACAATCACCACAGCCAGACCAGCCGATAGAATGTCCCAGTCACCGGTCTGGCCAATCACAGTAGCAAAGGCAGTAGCACAGTAGAAACCAACCAAGAAAAACAGCAATTTCATTGGTAAATTCTTCCTTAGCTCCTGGATTCTCATCCCAATCCGCGTCTGCAGAGCACGAATTGCCCTAACTAACCGTGTTCCACCGCCACTACTGTCATCCGAAGAAGGGGAATCGAATCCACTGCCATTGGTGCTGCTTCTAATCTGCCATACCCTGCACCGGGGAAACTAAAAGATAAGCGTTTATCACAGTTTCAGCAAAACCCTAATTTCATACAATCGTGATGGGATTAAACTAATTGGAACGAAGCAGTGAACCCTAGGTTAAGATATGAATGCTTCAGCTTGAGTTGACTCACTCGAAACTGTTGATCAAATACGGCTCAGTAACTCGACAGCTGGGAAATTGGTAAGGGAGAACCGTAATCCTGTAATGCCTACTGAAAGTTCCGGTGGAGGAGAAGGAGAAGTGCGTAATTGCACTTGTAAATTTCAGGCGATGTGCAGAATGAAGTTTAACAACATTTCGCGGCAGGTTCGACAACGGCGATGGAGCCGTTGCTGCCATACGCTTCCTCCGATGTTCGACCGGTGAAACCCCCTGCCAAAACACAACGAATTGAAGCCGGAGCCGGAATATTAGCGCAACGATACATTTTCTGTTCGAACAGAACAACCACCACCGAGCAAGCGCTCTACGGTACAGTGAATACTACGCCTAATTGGTTTTCGATTAGACATTACGAGAGGAGAAAAATGATGGAGAGGAAATCTTACAGTCGAGGGAGATAAGAGAGTATATATCTTCCACAAATGGCGTCTAGCGGCTGAATTTCTTTCCCAGCAGCTTTCTGGTTTCCGACGGTGAAAGCGGAGCGAGAAAGTTTTGCTTCCGGCCGCAGGAGGAAGTGGAAGAGTGCCTTTGGTTAGCCTGGTTTGGTTCAGCTTCTAAAAATCGCAACGCCTAGCAACGTTTCCTCCATTTAATTTAATTCTTTCTTATTAAAGAACAAGTAAATGCACTATTACTTACTAGCTTATAACCCGGCTCTTTCGCCGGAATATTTATATTTGATTATTTTTAGGTTAAATACACTTGTATATCCAAAACTTTCATGGTTATGCCAATAATATCCAAATTTCCCGAAATATCACTTATATCCAATTCTTTCGCATTCTTTAACGGTGTGTTTGGATATACAAGTGTATTTAACCAAAAATATATTGGGAAATGGATAGATTTAGCAAAGAACAACTTTAAAACATGGATATAAGTGGTATTTTGGGAAATTTGGATATTATTGGCACAACCGTGAAAGTTTTGGATATACAAGTGTATTAAACCTTATTTTTATTTTCATGTTACGTTTAACTCTATCAACCCGTTTGATTTTATTGACAATCCTTCGATCGAGATGATAATTAAAGAAAGAATATATAGATCGAACATTTGGAGAAATATAAAAATGTATCATTGATCTCATTTTCATAGTGATAATTAAGTCCCCGGTAAAATGTTATTGGTTAGTTGATTTGCAAAAAAGATAGAGTATAAAAGCTCACTGAAATTCCCTCACAAACCATAGATAGTTTGAAACTAAATCTTAAACCTCGCAATCCTACGTAAAGATTCAATGCTCTCCTTTTAGGAACAATATGTCACTAATCAAAAAGAAATGGAGAGTTGTTGATTCAAGTCAACTATATGCTAACAACTCGGCTGAGAGGGGACCATCACAACTTGAGAGCAAACGGAAAAATTAGGGTTACCTCCAATATTTAAAAAACCATAAACCTAAAGATCCAATAGTCACCACCAATGCAGTCAAAAGCGCGATTCTACCTAAAAGCGTAAAAGGGGTAAAATCGAAAAGCGGTGAATCAAAGCGTAAAAGCGTAAGTTTTTATGCATCCTGTATAATAGTTAAAAATCTATTAAATACGGCATAAACTATGTAAAATATGAGTGCACAGAATTTAGATAAAAGAATAAATACCTGCAATTCATGTCTAAATTAAAACAAACTATTATTGAGCCATGACCACGTGGCTCTTCCGTTGTTCTCTTCGATCCATCAATCTCCCACCACTACAACAACCACCGTTGTTTCCGCCTCCGACTCTATAATATTAATTAATCGTACAATCCAACTCTTTGTCCTAGGAACTAATAAAAACAATTGCTTTCCCCTTCATTGAGTAGATGACAAATCTTCATAGTTACTGATGTACAATGAAACACAACTACTCAAATTGGTGAAGACTGAAGTGGCGATGGGCTAGGACAAGGAAGAGACAGAAATTAACCAGTTGTGTCGTCGGCGAGTGGCGACAGGCGATGACGAGTCCGATGGGCGTTAAGCGACGGACGCTGCCGTGTTGGAGGCTTGGAGCCTTGTAGCAGCTGCAAATTCTTCGCTGGAAGGTGGTGGACTGGCGGCAACGGTTGAAAGCCTTGTAGCAGCTGCAGATTCTTCGGTGGAGCCTGGAAGGCCTGCCTCGAGACGACGGCGACAGGCGATGACGAGTAAGGAGGGCGGCGGCAGGCCTGCCTCGTTGGACTGCTGGAGACAGGAGACAACGATTAGGAATTTTGGAAGAGTTTGGCAGCCTCGTCCCAATATCCACCCTATTCCCTTCTTCTTTTTTGTCCGAAGTGCACAAAACGGCGTCGTTTTGGTTTGGTGGAGACAGTTTTCTCCTTTGCTTGAAATCGGATAAAATCGGTTTGAAAACGCGATTTTATACGATTTCACCGATTTTAACGATTCTACTAACGCATTTGACCGATTTTGAGTGAAAACGATTTTATTAGTGATTTGAAACGTTTTCCCACCCTAGAAACGTAAAATCGTACGATTTTACGCTTTAAAGCGCGATTTTGACTACACTGGTCACCACTCTCTGTTGTACGATAAAAATTTTATCCACTCTATCTTCAATATCAAGAGGCGTATGTTTCAACCAAAAATCAAAATTTTAATTCTCCTTCTGCACCTCCCTTTATTGAACTCCATTATATTCGCCACAGATTGATATCAGAGTTGAAATCTTTTACCTGCCTAGTTTAAATCCCCAAGAATAAAATCGTAGTGCCAAGAGACCTGAAGATTGATTTTCAAAGGCGGCCTTGTACTGTGAAGTGAAAGGGGCGCAAACTATTGCACGATGAAAGGAATTTGAGAGAAAGTTAGAAAGAGATAAGAACAAAGATAAAAAAAAATACAAATTTAAATATAAATTGAAAAATGTAAGGACGCAACTAGGGATGGCAAATTACCCGCCCATGGGTAATTATACCCAAACCCAAGTAGACCCATTGATAATGGGTTGGGTATGGGTGAAGTGCATATGGATTTGAGGGTGTTTGGGTAAGGTATGAATATTGCTTCCATAATCTAAATGGGTATGGGTTGGATATGGATATCCATTTACTTGAGGGTGTTTTAACTACACATGCAAAAATTGGACCTATTTGTAAAACCTGAAAAGTTTAGGTACCAAAATGTAAGACCAAAAAAATTAGGTACCAAAACGTAATTTTCCATTGATATTTTGAGGACTTATATGCAAAAAAAATTAAATTTAGGTACTAAATATGCATATCTATTAAGTTTGGGTACCAAACTGTAATTTGTATTTGGGCATGGGTACAAACCCAAATCCATTTGATATAAACCCAACTCAACCCAAAGTAAATGGATATGGGTACAAACCCATCAAACTCTACCCATATCCATTTATTTGGATTTCATACCCAACCCAATTGGGTTGGATAATAAGAAACCCATGGGTATGGGCAAAGTTGCCAACCCTAGACGCAACACGTAGTAATAGAATTAGTTTCTTCCATGTTGGCCAATTTCCAATTTACCTTTGGCGAAAATTAAGGAAAAAGTAGTGATTTTAGAATTGAGAAATTATATAAAACTCTGCTATGAAAATTGCAGTATCAAGCACTATAAAAATACATACGGTAGACTTAGTGGGCTTGCTAATCATGATGAAGAAGTCCTCTTATTTTTAGAGTGTCACTTCGTGTATGTTTTGAATTTAAAAAGATACAAAAAGTTTGTTCAGTGTAATTGGTTGTGATTGTTGTCTTTGTTTGAAGATACTCGGGTTCAAATCCTAATATTGACATTTTTATATGAAATAAATAATTAATTTTAAAGATAAAAATGTCCTTCCTACTTTCACTCTCGTTGTAGAAAATTTAAAATAGAGAAAAGTAAACAAAACTCTACTATATATTATTGGAGGATAGTCACAATCAACAATGATTTTTTTATTCTTTATTTTTTACTTTTTATTAATAAATCCATTAATTTTATGTTTTAATTGTTTCTTCTTATTATAAGTGTACCTAGATTCATGTGTACTCAATCTAATTCGATTCATTTCAGTGTTGCCGAACTTTTGGTCAACAACAAATTTTATCAACTTTTGTAAATAATGAATTGGGTCGGGTGTAGCTTTTGTTAAAAATTATATTCAACCTGGTCCCGGTGTTGCCGAATTTTGGGTCGGGAACGAATTTTACCCGCTTTTGTTGGGCCTGGTGTTGATTTTGTTAAAAATCTCGCCCCGCTTTATCAAGTGGGTCAAAGCGAGTTGAATCCAGTGTTGAAATTTTTTTGGTCGGGACGAGTTTTACCACTTTTGTAATTGACGTGTTGGGCGGGTATGGTTTTTTTTGTTGAAAACCCGGTACACTTTATCAAGCCAGTCAAAGCGAGTTGAATCCAATGTTGATGAATTTAGGGTTGGGAGGGGGTTTTACCCGCTTCTGTAATTGTCGGGTTGGGTCGAGTGTGAATTTTTTTGTTAAAAACCCGGACCTCTTTATCAAGCCAGTAAAAGCAAGTTGAATCCAGTGTTAAAAAATTTCGGGTGAGGGACGCATTTTATCGATTTTACAAACCCTTTTATGACATTGAACCCAAATCCAAATTAGTGTTGACAAATTTTGGCTTAACGCTGAGTTTTTGCACGTTTAAATCATTGGATCTTGGAGGAGTTTATTTCAATTAAGCTTCTAATTTACCCAAATCAATGGTATTATATCTGGTCAAAGCGAGTTGAACTCGATTTTTTCAAATTTTGGATTGATCGACCTAATTCGACCCAGTTAATGCGAGTTGAATTCGGTAGAGTACATCAATTGTTATTATTATTATTATTATTATTATTATTATTATTATTATTATCTCTTTAACAGAACAAACTATGTGTTTACTGTTTGGTAAAGTCACTTCCCAATTAATGGCCTTAACAGTGTTTACTGGATTCTCGTTTTTAATTATTGCCTCTTCTTGCTCTGTTCTCTCTTTTGTCTCTGCTTTTTACTGGGTTCCTTCGCCAGCGACATCTATCTTCAGTTGATCGGTTTTCGGGCCTTCTCACCTCTTCCCTGGAGATGACAGGTTTGCCGCTTCCTACCCTCTTTTTGTTCACAACTTTTGCTTTGCTGCCTTCTTATCTTCCATTCTTCTTCTCACATCATTTTTTTCTCTGCTATTCTGCTTTATCCGCCCTGTTTCTTCTCTTGCTCTTTAATGGTGGCCCATAAACTCATGTTGGATCTCAACGACTTGGATGGCAAGGTGGCGATGTAGGGAGAAAAGGACGATAACATTGGCGAGAGTCTCGCGCAGGGATGCCCTCTGGCCGAGCGGAGGATCTCCCGGTTAATGGGTACCCGCCATCCCAGTTTTGCATGCCTCCTCCACGATCAAGGTAGAAGAAATTGGGTATTTTTGTGTATGAATTTGTTCTTTTTGGGTGCCTGACTTTCCCTTCTTTTGGCTTTCTTCTTCACCTTCTCGGTTAGTGCTGACTGCTGAGATTGCAGACCACAGGAAAGGTGTAGTTATTTGTGTGGGTATGTGAGTTGGTGAGAGGATGCTGAGGACTGGAAGTGGCGAGCGAAAGCGAGATCATTCTGTAACTCTTGGGAGGCAGCGGTGGGTTTATCGCGGGGTTGGAGAGCGGGAGTCATTCAGTTCCTAGAAGCTCTATTTTAGGGAACATGAGCTC